TAAATAATATTATTAAATATATTAAATAATAATATATTAAATAAATAATATTATTAAATATATTATATAAATAATATTATTAAATATATTAAATAATAATATATTAAATAAATATATTAAATAAACATATATAATACAAAAACGGTTTCAGAAAAGAGGGAAGAAAATGAAAAAGAAAAAAAAAAGTGAAATCCGTTTTTCAGAAAACAGAAAACGAAAACAAGAAAATGAAAACACATTTTTTTCGTTTTCTGATTTCCACAAAAAGACAAAAACGTTTTTGGTTTTGTTTTTTAAAAAAAATTGCACCAAACACGTTTTTAACACCCGTTTTCATTTTTTTGCTTTGAAAATCGTGAAAAACGAAAACGAAAACGCAAACAAACGGGCCCAATAAATCTTGATTCCTACTACGACACATAATATTTTTATAAGTCCGCTAGCTGATATATTTTTTATGATATAATTTGACAGTTCAGAACTCTCTCACCAATCACGTATTTGTGTATACTTTACATAGAGATATGGAGGAGGCACAAATGAGTTTGGATCGTTTTTTAATATTTGTTACTTTTTTCTGAGATAATTGTTGTGTGATATCTGAGAAGAAGGACATGAAAAAGAAGCTTTATTGAATGAAAGATTGGATGTATGCAGAAGCGTGATAGTATAGAAGTGGATATTGGACCAGTACTACATTTACACGAGGAAAAAGGTAATTAATGGACCATGAACTAACTTACAAATGCCTCATTCGTTGAGGTCCATAGTTAACTTTGAAGAGAGATGTGTTCTGTTGTATTTTTTGGTCCTGATCAAGCGAGGATTCTGACTAGAATCTTGGCCTCTTGGGACTGTGCCTTATGCTTCGTGGGACATTAATTGCCCGTTTGGTTCATAGATTAAAACTATGAGATTAAAATTATTTTTGATTTACGTGTATTTTTTATGAGAGAAAATACTGTAGCGAATCATGAACCACAATTCAAATCAAAGAATGAATCCTCCAACCAAACGGATTCTAATTTATTCAATAAGTTTCGCATTATTTAAGTTGTACATTTTACCTCTGTAATAAGCATATATAGTTTACTAGATTTTAAAATAATAAGGTTTAAGTTCCGGCTATCTCGATCTATGTGTATTAATAATTATTGTTGTCTGACAAAAGAGAAGATTTTAATATTTTTTTTATGTATACCATCGCTTATATATAACTGAAAAATATTTGGAGGTGAACATGTTCATTGAATTGAGGAGCAAGTGTGTGTGTGTGTGTGTTTTTTAAGTGAAATGTCTTTGGAAGCAACAATAATAGGACAATTATATAACTTCTGGCCCTTTTTAGTCTTTTTTATAGTGCTTTATTCCACGGTTATAAGACAGTGTTTGTTTCTAAACTATAGATTGAGTTAAAGTCAGTGAATCGGGGATTGCGTTAAAATCAAATTAAAATGAAAAATTTGCAAAATCGATAGAAATTACTACATATCTGACGATACAAAATAGAGTTCTTGGATAGGCGTTTTGTTTTCATACCTCACAAAATTCCCATTATCCTATTTGCAAATATGGAGCAAATATTGAACGAAAGGAAAAGGAAGTGAAGAACCATACCTTTTTTGTAGGCCTATTCCATAATTCATGATATATATAGTATTCAGCTTTTCATGTATTACAATTTTCACATTCATCTTTAATGGCTTTAAAGATGCAACAACTAATGGATCGTGACCCAATATAAGGGGTGACAAAATACAGTATATACTGATCTGATGAAAGCACATTGGTTTTGTCCTCGGAATATATAGACGTATATATATATATATCAGAACATACAAATTAATCAACATCCAATTATACTACAACCCCAGAAAAAAATGGAAAATTAAGAGAGCAACAACCTTAAGGATAGGAATTTCAGAAGGGAAAATACAAAAAGCTCCGAGCAAAAATAATTGAATACTAGCCACATAAATATCTTGCAAATTCATGTAGCTGAAAAAAAAAAAAGAAATTCCGTAACCAAGATATCAATATACATACATACATATATAAGATGGCGATGTATGGTGGTTGAATGTTGATGCCATATATATATAATATAGGTCCGGCCCCTGATCTCTAAAATCTAAATGATAGAAAACAACTGAAACAGCGCCATATGAACATCTTTAATTTGTTTGCTGGGCCCTGATTATGATTTGAAGAAAGTGGAGTTAAGTTGTAGATCATATCTACACGTCCAATGCGATCCAAGAACTAGAGTTTTGAATATGCACTTTCCTAGCTAATTTGTATGGAAAATCCCTTCACATCCAAACCCCCCAATAGATGTGAGACAAAAACTGTGGCCCACCTAATTAGACCCATCGGGTAGGTCCATATTAATCTCACATTCCGATCCATATTTATCCAAGTGTGTATATGGCCACAAACATATAACAAAATATATACGGTTTTTTGAAGATTATGGAGAGAGGAAGATGCATATTATATTTATATAAGAAAAAAGGAGTTGCCCTCTTAATAGAGAGAAGCCCATTGAGCTGTTTAATGAATAAAAATTATGGTGTTGACTTCAAGGATTAGTGCAATCGAGGGCCAAGTGGTGGTTTTTCCTCGCATAAAGCTGCTTAACATTTTGTTTAAATTAACCAATCCACGCCTCAGTTCTTATTCTTTTCTCAACTCAAATCACAACTCTTTGAGCTAGAGATGCTTCCCGTCCTCTCCCGCGCCACTTTGTTCTCAACTGTTCCCACCTCCTGGGCGAGACAAGCTACCTTTAAAGTGTTTTGTTATAATTTTTTCTCACAAAATTTTAAATTTAAATTTTTACTACAATATTTTTTCTCACATAAAAAAATTTTAATTGTGAAAAAAAACACACCGTAAATAACTAACGCTTTAACGGAGTTGCTTTCTCACAACTATGTGTCATTGATTAGGAATGTGAACAAGATGATATAAGGTTATTAAGGGGCACATGGTAGGAATCTTTCCACACGTTTATACGTATCAACTAACATGAGTCCTTATTTTTTTTATATTGGATTATTAATTTTTGTTCACATAATTTTTACTTTTCCAGCATATATGGACCGGTTTGGTTTAATTTCTTTTCTACGATTAATTCTTTTTTCCAATTATGAAACTTCTTGAGTAATATCTTTCAGCAAATTAAAATTTAATTAGATTAGCAAATCTCCTTACGACATCAGAAAAAGACATTGGCCTTTTATGACATGGTCATACATATTGTAAAAGTGTAAAGTGCTGTATATTTTCTGGGCTAGTGGGCACTTTATGAAAAGCGAAGGCAATGAAAGTCAGGCAATGAAAAGAAAAGGCAATCCCATTTTTAATCCCTAATAGTAGAAAAGGCAATCCCATTTATTTCATCTTTATTCCTTTTTGAGGTGAGAAATAAACAATATTTACACAGAGACCAATAAATTAAACCGCACAAGTCATTCTCAAAACTAACACACATCTCTTTCCAAACACCAGAAAAGAGAAGTAAAAAAGAAGCAACGTTGTTACCAACTGTGTTTTGTCATGTTACAGGTGTTGATTCTTTTTCCTCCGTCCCTTTGCAGCAAATATCTCCCCTTTTTTCACCTTTTTTTTGCAGCTAATATTATTTGTGTTCTTACGCATTTATGACGCAATATTCTAAATGCTTTGGAAATTCTTAAAGAAAAAAGAGATGGAGGGCAAAGAAATCAAAGTATTATTGGTGGTGTCAGGCCGATTTGGTTTTTCAGAGGAGAATCCAATGCCTGGTAAATTTGACAAATAAATATATAATATTCATGATCAGCTAAAAGCCGTGTGTATTTTTGGTATCATAACCAGTTATTGCAACCAGGAATTTCCTTATTTTCAAGTGATCTTTTAGCTTCTTAATTTCATGCAGATTAAACTAAACAACAGGCCATAAGTACTAATTGGAAACTAATTAATCCTAAATATGTATGACTAAGTTGAAAAAAATATTACTCACATTTTCCAAGTAATTAATGTTTAATCTCCGTATCATAGTGTGAGCTAGCTAGACCATTTTGACTTACAAGCAATGATTCTTTTTACATGTCCATGTATGGACCATAATACACTTACTAATTTGTTGAAACATATAATAAGCAAATTAAACTAATGCAATAACAATGGCCTAATTATAATAGTCGATCAGGGGTCTAATTAAGTGCGTAAGTAGGACCATCCAAAAATCTTGTAACAACAAACAAGTTGAGGGCTTAATTTCAAAAAGTCGTTAAGATCGGTGCATACCAGCCTAACGTTTGTATTCTATATATGTCTATCAATCTTGAATTCAAACTTCAGTTAAGGACACCAAGAATGTATAACTGGGGTAGCTTAATTTGACTTTGTTAGGTTATATTACATGAGGATCTTCTATATTATCGGTAAAATTTGTGTTAGGAACTATATTTTCACTCTACAGGTAGGTACTGCTATTTTAACCGTTAGATTAACTTTTTAACTGGTTTGATTTCTGATTAAAACCAGTTATGCGTTGCGTGATTCAAGTTTTTAATGTGGACATTAACAAATCAGACTGTTAAAATTTAATCTAACAATTAAAATAACAGTTCTTGTAATAAATCCAATATTATCATATTATTAGTTTTTGAAGTTGGTTATGGTATAATGATTTATTCTCTAACAACCAAAGAAATACTTGAATAGTAAAACCGAATCACAATTAAAGCATGCAACAAATACAATTAACATACAAGTATGTCGTCTAGCACCTCAACCATTATAGTTCTGTAAACCTCTTGTTAAAAGGAACCAAAATCACTTTCTTAAAAAAAAAAAAAAAAAAAATTACAGAAAAGATCACAAATGGGCACATGAAATATGGAAACGTCAATAAAAAAAAATTCGTGAGAAATTAATGTCGTTGGTGCTTCTAACACTATATCAAGTTAGTGCTGATCATATGTTGAATTAATTAAGTGCGGATTAAACTTTAGGATTAGTAAGGCTATTTTCTTAAACAAATAGACTAATAGCTACAAGACTTTTGGGGTGTAGCATATTAAACATATGATAACTAACTCGATCGATATAGTTAGTTATTTCTTGAATCCAAAACACGACTGAGTTTGACAAATTGGAGGGAAAACATGGGAGTAGTTTGACAATTAATATATAATACCAAGACTTCGGAAATACGTCAATAATAGTAATCGGTTGGTTGGCGCCAAACGCGTTCCCTTGTTGACAAAACTAAGAAAGTTCACTTGGTCACACGACTCAGCTCACAAATTGCAAGATCAAACTCACCCCTATAAATGGACGCAAAATCCTCAAGCTAAAACAACATCTAATTTACATCAACCTCTCAGAAACTCAAAAGAAGCAACATTTCTACTACTACGAGTTAGCACTCTTGTTTGATCCATTTAATATCCAATTCCATGGATTACAAACTCTTCCTTATCGCAAAACTCTTGTTTTGCGTTGTCAATCTTTACTTCTTAGCCTCTCCATCCATTGCATATCAGCTACCTCCGAACCGGCCCGTTCCGCGGGAAACCATTTGCAAGTTCACCCCATACCCATCATCATGCAAATCTTTCCTCCCAAACAGGACAGCCAATGTCTATGACTCTGCAAAATTTTCAGTCCAAAAATCCTTATCTCAGACCTTCCAATTCCAGAGACTTGTTAACCGCTATCTTCAGCGCCGCTCCTTTCTTTCAAAAGCAGAAATCGCCGCCCTCGAGGATTGCCAGTTCCTCTCCGGCCTAAATGTGGACTACTTGATGAGCTCCTTTGGCACCATCAAAGCGACGCACGGTGCTCTCCCGACGTGGAAAACCGAGGACGTCCAAACGCTTCTCAGCGCCATCTTGACAAACCAGCAGACTTGCTGGGACGGCCTGCAATCGGCTTCTTCTTCTTCTTCAAGTAGCGTCAGAAATGGCCTCTTAGCTCCTGTGGCAAACGACACTAAGCTCTACAGTGTCTCTCTTGCTCTCTTCACTAAAGGATGGGTTCCTAAGAAGGAGTTCACTGGCGCGCAATCGCAATTCAATAACAGGAAACTAAATGAGCGTTTGCCATCAAAAGTCTCTAGCTTAATCAGACGTGGTCTGTATGAGTCGATGACTCGGAGAAATTTGCTTCAAACCGGCGATGGAAAAAGTAAAGTATTGGTGAGAGATGTGGTGACTGTGAGTCAGGATGGGACTGGAAACTTCACCACCATCAACGAGGCCATAGATGTTGCTCCGAATAACACTGAAGCTTCAAATGGGTACTTTGTGATATACGTCAAGGCCGGGGTTTACGAAGAGTATGTGTCGATTGAGAAGAAGAAGAAGTACTTGATGGTGATCGGCGACGGAATCAATCAGACCATAATCACCGGCAACCGAAGCGTTGTTGATGGTTGGACAACTTTCAAGTCCGCAACATTTGGTAAGAATCTAATGCTAAATTTAGAATTACAAAATTGGTACTATATATATTTAAGTTAATGGGCTTATGCATGTTGTAAGTACAATAACGTGTAAAAATTATGCAAACCAACCATGTAACGTTCTTTAAAAAAATTAAAATATTTTTTAACTGACTTTTTAATACTTTAATGTTTGAATCTATTAGATTACATTATAAAATGCGATTGATTAGACACTATTTAAGACACTGAAAATTAAACTCACATAAATTTAGTAGGTAACACTTTCACGTCCACTATGCAAATCTAACAGAATTTGATCAGTTCATATAGTAGTCGATATGATGAATATGTCAAATCCTTGACAGTTTAAATGTCAAATTTATTTTCACGTCATATTATAACTTATACGTCAATATTGTTGCAGCCGTTGTTGGACCTGGTTTTGTTGCTGTGAACATAACTTTCCGCAACACGGCAGGGGCAAGCAAGCACCAGGCAGTAGCAGTCCGAAACGGTGCCGATCTGTCCACATTCTACAGCTGCAGCTTTGAAGGCTACCAAGACACTCTCTACACCCACTCTCTCCGACAATTCTACAGGGAATGCGACATCTACGGCACAGTCGACTTCATATTCGGAAACGCAGCGGTCGTCTTTCAGAACTGCAACTTGTACGCCCGCCTTCCCATGACAGGACAGTTCAACGCCATCACGGCTCAAGGCAGGACGGACCCCAATCAAAACACCGGCACGTCGATTCACAACTGTACCATCAAAGCCGCCGAGGATTTGGCGTCGAGCAACGGCGGCGCCAAGACTTATTTGGGGAGGCCGTGGAAGGAGTATTCGAGGACGGTTTACATGCAGTCTTACATGGATAGTGTCGTTGATCCAGTTGGTTGGCGTGAATGGAATGGAGATTATGCTTTGTCCACATTGTATTATGCTGAGCATAATAACACAGGACCCGGGTCGGACACAACAAACAGAGTTACATGGCTTGGATATCATGTGATTAATGCAACTGACGCTGCTAATTTCACGTTGTCTAGTTTCTTGTTGGCTGATAACTGGGTGCCTCAGACAGGAGTCGTTTACACCAGTGGGTTGATGTAAGGGTTTGAGAATATAGATGTTTTTATCATGTCTTCGTTTACTGACCATTGTTTGAATGTAGTATTGCCAAATTTGTTTTATTTCATACAAATTTGGTATTTACATTATTTTTTTTAATTTTTAGCTCAAAGAAACAGGGAGAATTTAATGTAACTTTTGAATTAAGGAATGTTGTTTTTCATGTAATAATTAAGTTTCTAAAGCAAGAACGAAAATTCAATTCTAATGATATTCTTGTATTCGTTGCCAACTAATTGTCCAAGTTAGGTATATTAAAAATAACAGTGTAACATTTAAAAAAAAAAACAAAAACTGGTGTATTGTGAACTTATCCGTGTTATGCAACTTGATCCTTGAATTTATAATTTTAATAATTAGGACCTTAGATTTAAAATTCTTTGCAACTATGGTTCAAAATTAAAGGCATAAATTAATTGATGGAATGTCCAACAATCTTCGCACAAAATGTACCTGAAAATTTTCGTTGGTTCATAAGTCGGACTCTAAAATCTTTTAACTTTGATATTTGGAGTCCTAATTGTTTCCACTAATTGATGTCTACAATCGATTCCACTACATTAAGAAGAATTGTCAAATACAGGATCCTTTCGTAAGATTAAAAGTTTAGGATTTAACTTGCAAATGACAAAAATCGGTTGATATCCCATCAAAAGTCTCGTGATCTTTTTTTTCTCTTTAACTATTTCTCTTTTGTTTGTTTTTTTTTTCCCTTCTTCCTTCAAATGTACAAACTTGAGTAGTGTTGTATCTAAATTTTTATTTATTTGAGTTTTTAGATTTGTAAAAAGAAAAACAAATCAAAATAATAGGGTACAATCTAGAGTATTATTGTGTACACAATTCTCATTTTCGTGTTCCTTATGACAAAATTTGAATTAAGAATTAAAATCACTAATTTAAACGTGTGAACCAAACAGACTATAAGAATTCATCAGAAATATAGCACTTATTACCTGAGAAAAAAAAACGTTAAACAACAAAGCAAACTAAGGTGCTTTTATTTTTCTATACATTTTTTTCCTGAGCAATAAAACGAAGTTGTGCGTTATAGATAAGTTTTAGGTCTTTAGCGAACATCTCTATTAGTATCTAGAGACGCCCTTTGGTAACATCCATGGGGTATTGCTATCAACGATATTCCGTTTCCGAACTTTTTAATTAAAAAAATTTAAGATGGTAGAAAAAGGTTGGTCAACCTAGGATTTCATGGCATAATATTAACAAGTTCGTTTTTTTTTTTTTTGGGTGCGCTCTGAACGCTTGTTTTGGTTTAAAAAGAGTGTAGAGGAATATAATATCCCGATTATAAAAACGCGGAGAAGAACAAAAAAAACTTGCTTTGAAGTTTGAAGTACAACAGTAGGTATAAAATTGTTTCGCAAACGATAATTGATCCGTGGTGCTCTCAAAACTTAAAGAGTTAATGCGGTTATATTTTATTCAGTAAAAGACCAAATTGTAGGAGCATGCAGTAATTCGTCAATCTTCTTAAACAAATGTTCAGAAATCCGCGTAACATATGGTAACTCAATATAGTTAATTAGTTGTTTCTTGACTTCAAAACTCGATGGGATTTGCCAAATTCGAGTCCAAAACGTGGAAGGACTTTCAAAATATTAACAAAGCACAAAAAACATATAGTTAATTATCTATTGGCGCCAAACGTGTTCCTCATTTGAGTCCATTAACTCTTCCCTATAAAATGACGCAAAATCCTTAATTTGTTGCCACAAACCCAATCAACTTTCATTTTACATCAAACACTTACTAATTAGTATTCTGATCTCTTAATCCATTTTCTCAAAATCCATGGATCACAAACTCTTCCTTGTCACAAAACTTTTGTTTTCAATTCTTACGCTTCACTTCTTAGCCTCGCCATCCTTTGCATATCATCGGCAGCCTCCGAAAAGGCTCGTTCCACCAGAAACCATTTGCAAATTCACCCCATACCCATCTTCTTGCAAATCTTTGCTACCAAACAAGATAGCCAATGTCTATGACTACACCAGATTCTCCGTCCTGAAATCCTTATCTCAGACCTTCCAGTTCCAGAGACTGGTGAACCGCTATCTTCAGCGTCGGTCCTTTCTGTCACAAACTGAAATCACCGCACTCGAGGATTGCCAGTTCCTCACGGGCCTGAATATCGACTACTTGATGAGCTCGTTAGGCACCATCAACGTGACGAGCGGTGCTCTCCCAACATGGAAAACCGAGGACGTCCAAACGCTTCTCAGCGCCATCTTGACCAACCAGCAGACTTGTTGGGACGGCCTGCAATCGGCTTCTTCAATGAGGGTAAGAAATGGCCTCTCAGTTCCTGTGGCAAACGACACTAAGCTGTACAGTTTATCTCTTGCATTGTTCACCAATGGTTGGGTTCCTAAGAAGGACTTCACGGGGCATTTCAATCAAAGGAAACTAAACGAGCGTTTTCCCTTCCCCGTGTGGAGCTTAATTAGACGTGGTTTATTGTATGAATCGTTGACTGAGAGGAAAATGCTGCAAACAGAGGATGGACAATCACAAAGCAAAGTGTTGATCAGAGATGTGGTGACTGTAAGTCTGGACGGGACTGGAAACTTCACCACCATCAATGATGCCGTCGCTGCGGCTCCGAATAACTCTGCGGCTTCAAAAGGGTACTTTGTGGTATACGTCAAGGCTGGGGTCTACGAAGAGTATGTATCGATTGAGAAGAAGAAGAAGTACTTGATGATGATCGGTGACGGTATTAATCAGACTATCATCACCGGCAACCGAAGCGTTGTTGATGGTTGGACAACTTTCAAGTCCGCAACTTTTGGTAAGAGTCCAAAATCTGATTTAAAATGTCTAGAAATATTATTGTTTACTTGAAAAGAAACACAAGGTTTGTTTTTTGTTTTTTTTTTTCCTTTTAACAAATTGGTATTATAAGTCAATGGGAATTACATCGTAGGTAACAGTTATTACTAAACAAGCATTTAAATCATCATATTTACTACCACATATAATATCGTAGTATAGTACTCTGTACTCTTACGTTGATACAGTAGCTGGAACTAATGTGCCAAATCCTTCATTTTTTAAATGTCATATTTATAGGTTCAAGTTGTTAGAAGTTAATTTAACTTATCCAAAAAAAAAAATGAAAGAGGAAAATTAAATAATTTCTATCTACTAGTTCTTCTCTCTTATTTATCATATACAAAATGAACTTATTTTACTTCTAACCTATATTAATGATATTGCAGCTGTTGTTGGACCTGGTTTCGTGGCAATGAACATAACATTCCGCAACACAGCAGGGGCAAGCAAGCACCAGGCAGTAGCAGTCAGAAACGGCGCAGATCTGTCCGCATTCTATAGATGCAGCTTCGAAGGATACCAAGACACTCTCTATACCCACTCTCTCCGGCAATTCTACAGAGAATGCGACATCTACGGCACCGTCGACTTCATATTCGGAAACGCCGCGGTTGTCTTCCAGAACTGCAACTTGTACGCCCGCCTTCCCATGACAGGACAGTTCAACGCCATCACGGCTCAAGGCAGGACGGACCCCAATCAAAACACCGGCACGTCGATTCACAACTGTACCATCAAAGCCGCCGAGGATTTGGCGTCGAGCAACGGCGGCGCCAAGACTTATTTGGGGAGGCCGTGGAAGGAGTATTCGAGGACGGTTTACATGCAGTCTTACATGGATAGTGTCGTTGATCCAGTTGGTTGGCGTGAATGGAATGGAGATTATGCTTTGTCCACATTGTATTATGCTGAGCATAATAATACAGGACCAGGATCAGACACTGAAAAAAGAGTTACATGGCCTGGTTACCATGCGATTAATGCTTCAGATGCTGCTACTTTTGCGGCGTCCAGTTTCTTGCTTGCTGATAACTGGGTTCCTCAAACAGGAGTCGTTTACACCAATGGTTTGCCGTGAGAAATTATTTATATGACATTTATAGGCATTTGATTATGTTTCTCGCCGTTGTTGTCGGTTTTTTTTTTTTTTTTTTTTTTTTTTTTTTTTTTTTTTTTGTGTGTGTGTGGCAATAGTCGAATGTTAGTCAATAAGGCTACAATGCCCAAGCTTGTTTCAGCGTACAGTTTGGGTATTTAAAGTTACTTTTTGAGTCCTTGAATTAAGAATTTAATTGTTACTTTGATCCGAAGACCTTATACCTTTTCATGTAATTAGTCTCTAAACATGAGCAATGGAATAGCTTTTAATCTGATTATCTGTGTATCAATTGCTGACTGTATCCAAATTAAACTCATATATGGTTTTTTTTTCCTTTATCCCGATCCTTTCTTTTTTATACTTTTCATTCCTGATTGTAATCTTTTAAGCAATTTTGAGAATTATTATATCAAAACATAAAATTTGAGGGCAAGTTCTCCCGTAGCAATAACAGGGCAAAAGTTCACCTATCCTTGCTATGTTTTGAAAATGCAAATCCAGCGTTAAAATACAATAGCTAGCTTTTGTTTATACAATACAATATCCGTAGGGACGGTTTTTGACTATTAAATCTGATTAAAATCATATTAAATTAAAAAAATATGATAGTTTTTTTATACAAATTTTAAGACTGAAAATAGAGCCTTCTCTATAATTCAGTTTTTCAATACCTACTAGAGAAATTACCCAACCATTAAGAAATGAAGGAGCTATATTTTAAGGCTCCGTTCATTTTACTGGTTTGAGTTTAAAATTTAACTTTTGTTACAATAAAAAGTTCTCAGAAACAGTTATATCTAACTTTTTACTACAATAAAAAATATTCACATAAAGTTATATTCCAACTTAAATTAAAAATTTTAATAAGCGAACTGAACTAAACGGGCCCTTTTAAGTGTTCCAGCTTCTAAACTTATTTCACTTGTCATATGTAATTCGCCCACGCAAAAGACAAAGCCAGAAACTAGCTACAGTAAATTGTCCTTTTTTTTTTCTCCTCCAAAGAGAAAACAACCTATCCCCATAAATTCTAGGACTCCAACTATTGAGTATTTTAACTGCCACTTGATAGCCCATTTTATTTCTTTGGCCTATCAACCATTAACCTTTTCGCTTATGGTCCGCCTTTGCATAATTACATAACTTTATCATCATTTAACTTGGATCTGACTCAACGATTAATTTGGAAGTTCAGTAACCAACTGAATAATTTAAAAAAATGTTAAAGTCAATCTCTTTATCACTCTCTAACTTCTCCACTTGCTACCTCTCGCCATTCTTTTACTGCTGTACGTTTTTTTATCAATAAAAATTACTCATCAAAGGTCAATAAAAGTGACACCAGTGCTCCCCAATACCTATTTTCTTATCATTTTTAATTTATTTTAGGGATAAAATCATTTTAGTATCATGTGTTATGACAAAATATGTTCTTAGTATATTATTTTTCTAATAATATTAAAGTGATATTTCAACGTTTTCAAAAAAATCTTTTTAATACCTTAAAATTAATTTTTAAAATATAAAATTACCTTAGTACTATTTTATTTAATTATATAAAAACTAATAGATCTAGGAAAAAAATCATGAACTTTTTTATCTTGTTATTTTTTTAAATATTTTAATGTTTTAAATATTTTTAGATTTTTTAAAAAATATTAATTTCTATTTAATTGATAAGAAGTGTAGTTTGAACATTATATATCCTAAAAATAGTTTTAGAGTACCCAGAAGATGCTTTTAAAAACGTTAAGGTATCATTTTAATATTATAAAAAACACAGAATAGTAAGTGTATGTTTCGCTATAATACAGAGTACCAAAATAATTTTATCCCTTTATTTTATAGTTTAAATTTTCTAACATTGTTAAAAAAATCTAACCTTTCTTTTTAAATTTTTCCCTCATAAGTTGAATAATTGTTGTTTTTGCAACTAAATAAATTAAAAAAATTAAACTTTTGAGAATAAAAGAGATCTTCAATAACTTACATCATCTCATACTTAAAAAATATTAGCTAGATAAAGAGAAGAATCAACAAAACAATTTTTTTCTCCAAAAAGAAAAAAAGAACATATGACGAATCTAATTTTTATCAACTAACTTTTTTTGAATTTTCTTCTCTATTTTTTCTTCTGAAAAAAGAAACAGCCATTTAATTTAAACAAAAAAAAAAGATAGTTTATTATAGTTGAGAGCTTCCTCTCCTCTGCGCTAAACGAAAAACTAGTTATGTAATGGCATGTTTGTGAAAAATAGTAAAAAGATGATTTAAAATTTTGTTACTTTTTATGGGAAAACTAAAAGACAAATGGGAAAAGGAGAAACTATAAAAGTGATAAAGAGAATCACAATTGAACCTACCATTTCTCAATAATTTAAACTACTGATTAGCTAGAGATAGAGTTTCAGTTCTACCAGTGTATTTTGATACTATCCCAGCTGTTGCACTTGCCACTAGGAATCTTGCTAATTTGTTTTTTTCTTGATCTTTTATTGCGTCTTCATATATATGCAGTTCACTAACGTTTGAAAAAAGAACTTTTATAGTAGGAGTTGCATACTCCATCAGTAGATACTGTTATTTTAGTTGTTGAAATTTTTTTAACGATTTTAATTTGTAAGTATAAGTAGTTTTGTGTTACACACTTTACATTTTTAATATGGACATTCACAGGTTGAACTATTAAAAAACTAACATAACGGTTAACATGTCAGTTTTTATTAATAGGTAAAATAACAGTTCGAATTTTCTAGAAAAATATGATTGCTAATTGTTATTGGTTAAAAGAGTACATGCCACTAGAAATTTGGAAGTAACCATGTTATTTGAATAGGAAGTTAGTTTTCCTTTTTGAGTGGTCGCTTTATGAAGATCAGCATAGAATCAACCGTTGCATAGTAGACAAGTTCTATTATAAAAGGCTCATCCAACGTCGGATTTCATTGCTTAATTAATGTTGATTGAAAATTAAGAGAGTAAAAGAAGAAATGGAAACCTTGAAAAGGAAGAAATAAAATATTTTTTACAAAAGCTATAAACAAACAACACTATTAATCATGCCCTGGTGCTCTACATAGTGACGAGTTAATGCCTACATATACATATATTTTAATCGGTGCAATACCAAATTACGAGAGCATTAAAACGTGATCAATCTTCTTAAACAAGTACATAAATATAGATATATGCGAAGGTAAAACACTTTTGTCCGTGAAACATATAACCACTCGATATACATTGGTCCATCTTTTGGTCAATCTTTCTCGACTTCAAAACTCAATGGAATTTGCCAAATTTGAGCCAAAACGTGGACAAATTTTCTTAATATTAAGACTTTCTAATCGGTTGGTGCCAAACACGCTTCCTCATTGAGTCCACTTGGTCACAACATTTCACAAACTGCAATACAATTCTTCTATATTTAAGGATGCAAAATCCTTAAGTGGTCACCACAAGCACGAATATTCACTCTACATCAAACACTTCTTGCTGGTTCAGAAAATGAGAGTGCAGTTACGGCACACCCTCCCAAAAACCTCAGGAATCTAGATCACTGGGGTCGTGTAACACCCTGAAGAATTAATTAGGATTAGTTAAGATAATTGAGATTATTAGTGTGCCTAATCTGAATTTATTAATTAAGTATTAATTAATAAATGTTTCTGACACGTGTGAGTTTAAATAATTCTAAGGTATTTAAATATTTTTAGTATTTACATGTTTACCCAGAAGTGTGTATGGGCACATTTCTGGACAGTTACTTTAAATTTAGTGACACCTGTCTTTTATTTCTTTTCTTTTATTTCTTTTTCTTTTCTTTCATTTTTCCTTTTTTTCCTTTTCTTTTCCTTCTATCCCGTGCATTCACTCCCTCTCTTTTTCTCTTCACTCCTATGCACTCTCTCTCTCTTTTATTTTTGTCCCAAATCAAACGAATCTTGAACCAAAGGAGAGTTTCAAAGTGTTTTCAACGTCAAGAGAAGGATTCAAGGTAAGATTTCTGAAAAACCTCTCTTGAATCTCTAGATTTCGGATTCTAAAACTTATTTTTGGTTCGAAATGAATTTTTATGGATTCTTGAGTAAATCATGGTAGAAATTGGAGATCTTGGGTTCTTTGGACTTGATTTAGTACTTAGAACCCGGATCTAGTGGTTTTCCTTTGAAATATTTTGATTTGGGACTGGATTTGTAGATTTTCAGACTGGTTTCCGTGAGCTTCTCTTGCGCAGCTGATTCCACCGGTCGACCTGTCTGGTCGACCGGATCACATGGTAACCGGTCGACCGGGCGGTCGACCCGGATTGCATTAGCCTGACCGATCGACCTGTCCGGTCGACCGGATTGCACACCACCGGTCAACCGGTGGTGATGCACTGTTCTGTCACCGGTCGACCGGTTGACACAGGGTTTGACCCTGTTTGGCCGGAAATTGTTGTTTTGACCCCTGTTTTTAGGGAGAACCCAAATTAGCTTCATTGCGCAGCTGATTCCACCGGTCGACCTGTCTGGTCGACCGGATCACATGGTAACCGGTCGACCGGTGCGGTCGACCGGATTGCATTAGCCTGACCGATCGACCTGTCCGGTCGACCGGATTGCACACCACCGGTCAACCGGTGGTGATGCACTGTTCTGTCACCGGTCGACCGGTTGACACAGGGTTTGACCCTGTTTGGCCGGAAATTGTTGTTTTGACCCCTGTTTTTAGGGAGAACCCAAATTAGCTTCATTTGGGGTCTTGAGATAAATGGATTAGCATCTTTAATCCTTGATTTGAGATTGAAAACCCTTGGAATGATAATTTGAAACATTAAAATGGATTAGGGCACACTAATAGGAAATCTTGGTTGGTAATTGAGATTGGATTGCTTTAGGAATGAGAATTGATTCTAAAGTGTTGTTTGTATCAGTGTTAGCTGAGGATTCAGACTGAAGGGGCTTGTGGAAGCGGAAGCCAGAAAAAGGGCAACGCTAGTCCCAGGTTTGATAGTGCGAGGTAGGATTTCTATCCCCTTTTCCTTGTGAG